ACACCAAACCACATAAGTGCAAAATATGTGAATCAAATAAAAGTGAAAGGAGAAAAAGACAAACCCATAATTATAGTTGGAGACTTCAACACCCCTCTTTCAACAAGAGATAGAAGCTAGACATAAGATCAGCAAGGATATAGAGGAACTCAACAAAAGTACACACTACCACAACTCACCCAACTTGAAATAGGTAATTTTAAAACCCTACAACTATTAAAGAAAATTAATGTGTAATTAAAAAGCTCCTAAAAAAGTAATTTTCAGGCCTAGATGGTTTCACTGCGGAATCCTACCAAATGTTTAAACATTAACTCCAATTCTACACAAGCTCTTTCAGGAAATACAAGAAGAGAGGATACTTATCAATTCATTTTACGAAGCTAATATTTCCCTGAAACCAAACCCAAACAAGGACATTAAAAAAAAAAAAAAGCTTTAAACTAATATTCCTCCTGAATACTGGTACAAAAAAAATCTTAACAAAATACAGTGAATAGAATTAAGCTATATATAAATATAATTACACACCATGACCTAGTGGCGTTTATTCCAGAGATGCAAGGCTGGTTCGATATCCAAAAAACAATGTAATCGGGGCCAGCCCAGTCGCACAGTGGTTAAGTACACGTGCTCTGCTTCGGCGGTCCGAGGGTTCGCAGGTTTGGATCTCAGGCGTGCACCAACGCACTGCTTGTCAAGCCATGCTGTGGCAGCGTCCCACATAAAGTAGAGGAAGATGGGCATGGATGTTAGCCCAGGGCCAATCTTCCTCAGCAAAAAAAGAGGAGGATTGGCATTGGATGTTAGCTCAGGGCTGATCTTCCTTACACACACAAAAAAACCCCCAAAAAACCCCAAAGTAATCGACCATACTGACAGGCTAGAGAAGAAAAATCACATGATCATATCAACATATGCAGATAAAGCACTTGACAAAATTCAACACCCATTCATGATAAAAACTGTCAGAAAACTAGGAATAGAGGGGAATTTCAACTTGATGTAGAGCATCCACAAAAGCCTACAGCTAACATTATACCTAATAGTAAAAGACTGAATGCTTCTTTCTAAAACTGGGAGCAATGCCAGGATGTCCACTCTCATCCCTACTATTCAACATAGTACTGAGAGTTTTAGCTAGCGCAATAAAGCAAGAAAAAGGAACTAAAAGGCACACAGATCAGAGAATAAGAAATAAAACTACTCCTATTTGCAGATGACATCATTGTCTATATACAAAACATCAATGAATCTACAAAAACATTCATAGAACTAATAAGCGAATTCAGCAGGGTCATACAACTGAAGATGAACATACACAACAATCAATTGTATTTCTATATACTATCAACGAACACACGAAAACCAAAATTTTAAAAAAAGAAATACTTACTGTAAGTCTAACAAAATGTGCAAGACTTGTATGCTGGACAGTACAAAATGCTGATGAAAGAAATAAAAAATCTAAATAAATGGAGAGACATGCTGTGTTCATAGATTGGAAGATTGAACACATTAAACATGTTGATTATGTCCAAATTGATATACAGATATAAGACAGTTCGTATCAAAATCTCAGTAAGATTTTTTGTAGATAAAGGTAAGAGTATTCTAAAATTTATATGGGAAAGCAAATGAACTAGATTAGCTAAAGTAATTCTGAAAAACAAGAATAAAGTGGGACAAATCAAGCTACCTGATTTCAAGACTTATTAGGTAGCTTCAGTTATCAAGACTGTGTGGTATTGATAGTGAGATAGACAAACAGACCAATGGAACAGAACAGAACTCTGAAACAGACCCCCACAAGCACAACTGACTTTTGACAAAAGTGCAAAGCAATTCAATGGAGGAAGAATACTCTTTTCAACAAATGGTGTTGGCTGGATATCCATAGGCCAAAACAACGAGAACAACAAAAAACCCACTCAAACTAGACTTCACACCTTACACAGAAATTAACTCAAAATGGATCACAGATTTAAATGTAAACACAAAACTATGAAACTTTTAGAAAAAGAGAGAAAATTTTTAGGAACTAGAGCTAGGCAAAGAGTTCTTAAACTTGACACCAAAAGCACAATCCATATGAGACAAAACTGATAAACTGAACTTCATCAAAATTAAAAACTTGTGCTCTGCAAAGGATCCTGTTAAGAAGATGAAAAGATAAGCCATAGACTAGGAGAAAATATTTGCAAACCTCATATCCAACAAAGGACTATAATATATAAGGAAATCTCAAAATTCAACATTAAAAAAAAGCAAACGATCCAATTACAAAATGAGCAAAAGATGTGAACAGGCGTTTCACATAAGAGGACATACAGACAGCAACTAAGCACATGAAAAGATGCTCAATATCACTAGCCATCAGGGAAATGCAAATTAAGACCACTATTAGACATCACTACACATCTATTACAATGCATAAAACAAAAAATAGTAACATCCTCAAATGCTGGCAAGGATGTAGAGAAAATGGATCACAAATACATTACTGACGGGAATGTAAAGTGGTACAGTCACTCTAGAAAACAGTTTGGCTATTTCTTAAACAACTAAACATGCAACCACCATATGACCTAGTGATTGCACTCCTGAGCATTTATCCCAGAGAAATGAAAACTTCTGTTCACATAAAAACCTGTATATGAATGTTTATAGTAGCCTTATTCATAACAGCCAAAGAATGATAACAACCCAGATGTCCTTCAGTGGGTGAACAGTTAAATTCACTGTGGTACATCTGTAGCCTGGAGGCATAAAAAGGAACAAACTACTGATAGAGGCACCAACCTGCATGCATCTTCAGAGAATTAAGGTGAGTGGAAAAAGCCAATCCCAAGGGTCACATATTGTGTGATTCTCTTTATATAACATTCTTGACATGCCAAAATTATAGAAATAGAGAAGAGATTAGTGTTCACCAGGAGCTGAGGAGTTGGAGGCAGAAGGGAAGCGGTGTGGCTATAAAAAGGCAACAGGAGTGATCCTAGTGGTGATGGAAATGTTCTGTATCTTGACTGTTATCAATGTCAACATCTGGTTGTGATATCTACTATAGTTTTTGCACAATGTTATCATTTGGGGAAATTGGGTAAAGGGACACTGGGATCTCTCTGTACTATTTGTTATAACTGCATACAATAGAATCATACGTATAAATTTCTCAGTAATTGTACAATTATCTCAAAGTAAAAACTATCTAAAAATTTAAAAAGTAGATGGTACAGTATTTTTTTCAAATGGGGTAATGAGTAGTGAGATCGGTTAAAAGCAGATCCAATAAGCATATATGTATACATATATGTATATGTGATATGCCTATAATAAACACAGTAAATATTTGGTATTTAATAAACTGCTCATTCAAATTAAAATGAAACCGAAAGAAATTCATGTTTCTGAAATTAAAGTTATCTTTAAAAGTAACTGAATTGTGGTGATGGTTGCATAGCTTTGAATACACTACAAACCACTTAATTGTATACTTTAAATGATTGAATTGTATAGTACATGAATTATACTTCAATAAAGCTGTTAAGGAAAAAAAAGTAATTGAAATGTGCAAAGTGCTCTCAAAAAAACAATGAGGATACTCTGGTCTTTCTCCAACTTTCCAAGATCCAGTTCTCAGCTAATTTACAAAGCTAAAATAGTATTAAATATTTTCACATGGGGCAGGTCTGCACAAAAAACTGTGGTTTGACTGGCACCTCATGCCACAGTGCAAACAAGCCTTCATCCCAGAGCAGTTATCCTAAAGCTGCTCAGAGCCGTGTACTTGGAAGAGGAGCCTCCAGTCCCTGTTTCCAAGTACAGGACTGCAGAACAAGGCACAGAGAAACCCCAATACAGAGCTCACACCTTGGGCCTCAGGGTCGCCTCTCCTGTGTGCTGGGTGAAGGGCAGAGACAGCAGGTTCTTGTCTACTCAGTGCCTTGCCACCACTTTTCTACTAAGTCTCAGTGCACACCTCAGTGCACAACACTTACGTCAGGTAGCTTTGAGAAAGAGAAAAGGTATATGGCTACCGTGTTCTTCCAGAAAATGCGCTTCATCTCAACATGCGCTACCAAACCTCCAGAAGAAGGATGAGTATGGTGCGGTACTGCAGGGGTAAGCACACTTATAAAGGGTGTCACCCCAAGGAGCGCAGGAATAAGGATGAGTCAGGTGGGGGTACTGAGCACAATGGGTTACTAAGTACACTGGGTGCTGCGGAATAATCTGCTCCTCGAGGGCTCACCCCAGGGGTGCAGGGAGAAGGATGGGTACGGTGGGGTACTGAATACCGTGGGTACTGCAGGGTATTCCGCTCCTCAAGGGCATCAGCCCAGGAGCAGGCAGAGAGAAGATGCGTACGGTGGGGGTAGTGAGTACGGTGGGTACTGCGGAGTTCTCTGCTACTCAAGAGGGCACCCCAGGAATGCAGGGAGAAGGATGGGTATGGTGGGGTACTGAGTACGAGGGAGTGCTGCAGTGACGGCCAGGACAGGAGCTGACCTGCACTGCGCTCTGGGGTGGGAGGACGGCCCAAAGCCCGCGACCGCTTCAAGGGCGCGCCATCCTTCCGTCGTCCGGACGGACAGAGGACACGGCTAGTCGGCTCCCACGTGACGCCTCCTCGACCTTGGGGGTCACCCTGGCGGCGGCGCCCGTTCCCTCACATCCGCCGCGCGGCCCGCCCCGCGCCCGCCAGAGCCAATGGCGTGCCGCTCCGCGCCCTGAGCGGCCTCCGAGCGCGCCCGCACCCGCCAATCTCCGCCCGCCCAGCGACGCCCGCCGCGCCATTGGCTGCCACGCCTGTCCATCAGGCTCCGTCCCGCCCACCTCCCTCATCAGCCCCGCTCCATCCAGCTTCACTCCCTGTCACCGCGGCGCCAGCGACAACGAGGCGCAACGGGCTCGCCCCCTGCCGCGACCCCTGCCCCCTACCCGATGAGTGCGGAGTCTCCCACACCGGGCCAGGCCCGGCGGCAGCGCTCGCTTACCTGTCTCCAGCTCAGCTCCACCCGAATAAGGCGCCGACACCCCACTCCAGGGCACCAAACTCTCGGCTCCGCCCCGGCGTGTGGCGTCAGCACGCAGCCCCGCCCCAGGGGGAGAAGTCCCGCCCTTCTGGGCGGGGCCGCGGCGTCACAGAAGCGCGCCGGCGTCGCCCGCGGCGCGTGTTGTGACTGCTGAGCCGACGCAGAGGCTGCGGCCCGGTGGTGGACTGAGTCGCGGCGCACCGACCTGTCTGCTGGCTCTGGAAGTGGTGTTTGTGAGTGGCTGGTGTGTCTTCTCCAGTGGGCTGTCGGAAACCCTCTGAGGGAGGACTGAGCCGACATCATCTGTGTCGCTGAACAGAAAGGAACCTTGGTCAGCGCTGCGCGCTCCGGGCGCCGCGCCGTGCCCTGCGGTGGGCGGGCGCAGTGAGAACCAGGAGCCCGGCGCGGGCCTCAGTGTATCCCGAGTGTGTGTGGAGCCGTCGTGGACACGAGGGTTTCCCAGGTGGGCAGCGGGATCGCTGTGGGACGCCGAGGCCTTCGGCTGGCGCGTGGACGGTGTATCATGCCGCTTCATTGGATACAAATGGCCTTAGGCTTTATGATGTTTTATTTACTGCTGAGAAGGAAAAGATGGTGTTACTAGCACACCTCGATCGTAAGATACAGCCCTATTTCACAATGTGAAAAACAATTGTATCTCAGAAGTGACGAAATAAGGTAAATTGTAGTGAATCACATACTGAGAAAGTTAGTCCTTTGCGGTTCTTCAGTCTTCATTACAGCAAGCAGAAAGCCGCATTTCTTGCTAATGTGTGTTTAACTCCGCTCCTTTCCTTCTTTACCTTTTTGACAAAGAGAGGTCAGACGTTAGGCTCAAAACTTTGGGTGGGCAATAATATAAAGCTAGAACTGAAACTGCGTTGTCTTCCTGATTTGTGATAGTTTATCTTTGATATTTATGGCGGGTGGTACTGGTTTTTCTATTTACGGTAATGGTAGTTTTGTTTTGTAATAAATGGTTCCACTTAAAGACTGTATCAACTAGACATGAGTATGGGGAGGTGGCATCTAAATGACTGACATTAGGGAACCGCTGTTCCACATCGTCTTGAGTTGTTCTGTGTATATTCCCAACAACTTGAAGACAAGAACTGTGTCATGTGGCACTGCAGAGGATACTGGGGTGATGAGGGGCAGCGATTGGACCATAGAGATCTGACCATGATGGCTCCGTGGAGGACACAAATACCTGAATGTGGGCGGGAAATCAGACTGAGGACTACGCTGCCCACTCACAAGTGTGATACAGACTTAGAGCACTTTTTAAATTTCTAAATGGGGAAGCCAGAGTAAGAGGTGTTTTTTGTTTTTCTTTCTTTCTTTCTTTTTTTGGTGAGGAAGATTAGCCCTGAGCTAACACCTGTTGCCAATCTTCCTCTTTTTGCTTGAGGAAGAGTGGCCTTGAGCTAACTTCTGTGCCCATCCTCCTCCATTTTGTATGTGGGTCACTGCCACAGCATGGCTTGATGAGTGGTGTAGGTCTGCTCCTGGGATCTGAACACGTGAACCTGGGCTGCCCAAGCAGAGCACACCAAACTTAACCACTTGACAGCCCCCTTGTTTTTCTTTTTTTTAAGTAGAGCATATAAGTGCTTGTGAGAAGGAAGTTGGGCTGATGTGTGGGATAAGGATCTGGAGACTGGGAGAAAGTTAAGGAACCAAGGAACAAAGTTCAGTATTTGTTTTCTCATTTTTTATTGTGGTAAAATATATATAAGAAAAAATTGTCATTTTAACTATTTTAAAGTGTACAATTCAGTGGCATTAATTACATTCACAATGTTTTGCAACCATCACTGCTATATTTCTGAAACTTTCTCACCACTCCAAACAGAAATTCTGTAATCATGAAGTGATAACTTCCCATTCCCCTGCCCCTCCCATCTCCCTTGGTAACTTCTATTATACTTTATGTCTCTATAAATTTGATGACTCTAGGGCCGGCCCCGTGGCTTAGCGGTTAAGTGCACGCGCTCTGCTGCTGGCGGCCTGGGTTCGATGCCAGGCGCGCACCGACGCACCGCTTCTCTGGCCATGCTGAGGCCGTGTCCCACATACAGCAACTAGAAGGATGTGCAGCTATGACATACAACTATCTACTGGGGCTTTGGGGGAAAGAAAAAAAAAAAAAATTTGATGACTCTAGGTACCACATATAAGTGGAATACAGTATTTGTCCTTTTATGACTCTCTTATTTCACTTAGCATAATGGTTTCAAGGTTCATCCATGTTGTAGCATATGTCAGAATTTCCTTTTTGTGGCTTAATAATATTCCATTGTGTGGATATACCACACCTTCTATATGCATTCCTCAGTTGATGGACATTTGAATTGTTTCCACCTTTTGACTATTATCACTAATACTACAATGAGCATTGGCTTACAAGTATCCGTTGAGTACTTGTTTATAATTCTTTCGTGTATATAGCTAGAAGTGGAATTGGTTGGTTATATGGTAATTATATGTCGAGCTTTTTGAGGAAGTGCTAAACTGTTTCTTAGCAGCCACACCAGTTTACATTCCCATCAGCAATGCAGGAGGGTTCCAATTTCTCCACATCATTGTCAATGCTTCTTATTTTCTCTTTAAATTTTGTTATAGCCATTCTAGTATATGTGAGGTGATGTCATTGTTGTCTTGATATGCATTTCCCTAATGACTAATGATGTTGAACATCTTTTCATGTGCTCATTGGCCATTTGTATATCTTCTTTGGAGAAAAGTCTATTCAAGTCCTTTGCCTATTTTTTTTTCTAATTTTATTTATTTTTTTCCCCCAAAGCCCCAGTAGATAGTAGTTTGTCATAGCTGTACATCCTTCTAGTTGCTGTATGTGGGATGCGGCCTCAGCATGGCCAGAGAAGCGGTGCGTTGGTGTGCGCCCGGGATCCGAACCCGGGCCGCCAGTAGTGGAGCGTACGCACTTAACCGCTAAGCCATGGGGCCGGCCCCCTTTGCCTATTTTTGAATTGGGTTGTTTGTCTCGTTGTTGAGGTGGAGGAGTTCTTTATATATTCTGGATATTAAGCCCTTATCAGATATATGATTTGCAAATATTTTCTCCTGTTCCATAGGTGGTCTTTTCCCTTTATAATTTTCTTTGATGAACAAAAGTTTTTAATTTTGATAAAGTCCATTTTATCCATGTTTGTTGTTATTGCTCATATCATAGCTAAGAATCCATTACCAAATCTGAGATCATGAAGATTTACCCTTATGTTTCTTCTAAGAATTTTATGGTTTTAGATTTTATATTTAGGTTTTTTATCCATTTTCAGTTAATTTTTGTATGTGATGTGCAGTAGGGGTCCAACTTCATCTTTTTGCATGTGGAACTCCAGTTGTCCCACCACTGTCTGTTGAAGAGATGATTCTTTCCCTATTGAATGGACTTGGCACCCTTTTGGAAAATCAGTTGGCCGTCTATGTTGAGTTTATTTCTGGACTCTCAATTCTATTCCATTGGTCTGTTTCTATCTTTCTGCCAGTACCACACTGTTTGGATTATTGTAGCTTTGTAGTAAGTTTTGAAATCCAGAAGTGTGGGTTCTCCAATTTTTTTCTTTTTCAAGGTGGTTTTGGCTATTCAGGGTTCCCTTGCAATTTCATATACAGTCATGTGTCACTCAACGACGGGGACACATTCTGAGAAATGCATCATTAGGCAATTTTGTTGTTGTGCAAACATCATAGAGTGTACTTACACAAACCTAGATGGTATAGCCTACTACACACCTAGGCTCTATGTTACTAATCTTACGGGACCACCATTGTATATGCAGTCTGTCATTGACCAAAATGTCATTATGCAGTGCATGACTGTAAATTTAAAGATTGGCTTTTCCACTTCTGCAAAAAAAGGCTGTTAGAATTTTGATAGAGATTGGGTTGAATCTGTAGATCGCTTTGGGCAGTATTGACATTATAACAATATCAAGTCTTCCAGTCCATGAACATGGATGTCTTTCCATTTATTTATGTCTTTAATTTCTTTCAGCATTGTTTTGTCATTTTCATTGCACAGCTTATTCACCTCCTGGGTTGAATCTCTTCCTAAGAATTTCATTCTTTTTGATGCCATTGCAAATGGAATTCTTTTCTTAATTTTCTTTTCAGATCATCCATTGTTAGTGTATAGAAATGCAACTGATTTGTGTGCAACTGGTTTTGTATCCTGCAACTTTGCTGAATTCATTATTAGCTCCTGTAGCTTTCTTTTAGATTCTTTGGGATTTTCTATACTTCCTCTTTTCCAGTTTGGATGCCATCTGTTTCTTTTTCTTGCCTAATTGCTCTGGTTAGAAATTCCAGCACAATCTTGAACACCCTTGCCTTGTTCCTGATCTTAAGAGTTCAGTATTTCACCATTGAGTAAGATGTTTGCTGTGGGATTTTCATAGACGTCCTTTATCATGTTGAGGAAGTTTCCTTCTACTCCTAGTTTTCTAAGTGTTTTGATGATGAAAGGGTGTTAGGTTTTGTTAAGTGCCTTTTCTGCATCAGTTGAGGTAATCGTGGTTTTTCCCCTTCATTCTAATAAAGTGATATATTACATTGATTGATTTTCTTATGTTGAGCCACCCTTCCATTCATGGGATAAATCCCACTTAGTCATGATGTATAATACCCTTAATATGCTGTTGGATTTGGTTTGCTAGTACTTTGTTGAGGATTTTTGCATCTATATTCATAAAGGATATTTTCTTTTCTTGTGAGTCTTTGTCTGGCTTTAGTATCAGTGTAATGCTCGCCTCATAGAATGAGTTAGGAAGTGTTCCTCCTCTTCAGTTAGTTGGAAGAGTTCAAGTAGGATCGGTGTTAATTCTTCTTTAAATATTTGGTAGAGGGGCTGGCCCCATGGCTTAGCGGTTAAGTGCGCATGCTCCGCTACTGGCGGCCCGGGTTCGGATCCCGGGCACTCACCGACGCACCACTTGTCCGGCCATGCTGAAGCAGCGTCCCACATACAGCAACAAGAAGGATGTGCAGCTATGACATACAACTGTCTACTGGGGCTTTGGGGAGAAAA